TCCCCAGCTATCCTCGAGGCTTTTAGTTTCACCTTGAAAGTCCCTTCTACTAGATAGTGGTCTGAACCCACATCTGCTTCTCTCCTTGACCTTGTGTCCAGTAGGCTCCGTCTCCACTTTCTTGAAATTGAGATGAAGTCTATTTGATTCTTGGTGTTTCCATCTGGTGAAATCCATGTCGTCTTGTGTATATCCTTGTGTTTGAACACACTACCACCAATCACCAAATCATTGAAGGCGCAGAAGTCTGAGAAGAGTTCACCATTGTCGTTCATTTCACCGATGGTTAGTTCTCTTCCTGTGTTGTCTCGTCCCAGCTTCGCATTCATGTCGCCCATCAGGATTTTGATATCGCCATTTGGGACGTTGTCCATTATTGCTTGTAGTTGTCTGTAGAACGCCTCCTTCTTCTCTTGTTCTGAGACGTTTGTAGGCGCATAGCATTGAATGACTGTAACTTTCCTTCCTTTTGAGTTGAACCTGGCTGTCATTATCCTGGAGGAGATTGGTTCCCACTGCATGAGAGCTTTGGTTGCTGTTGGTGACATCACGATGGCCACTCCCTCGGTGTGCTCGTGATTGTCCTCTGGGTGGTCGGAATATATTATTGTCTCTCCAGTTGGTAGTTGGCACCTTCCAGTTCCGTTCCATCTGCTTTCGCAGATTCCCAACACTTCTATTCTGTACCTTCTCATTTCAGTGGCTATCTGGGTAGCCTTTCCGGTTTCGTACATTGTACGAACATTCCAGGTAGCCATCCTTACTTTTGCTTTCATCGAAAGAAGGCACATCGGTTGACTGGCTTCCCGAAGGCTTTCACCAGCCTGCGTCATTTCACTTCCCCGATTCCAGCGAAAAATAAGGCTATTGTTTATATTTTTAGAATTTTTAATATATTTGCGCGTTGACGTTACCGGAGCGATTTGGTTGAGTTTTATGGGGTTGGAGCTGCTAGCACCACGCCCCAACACTCCCTCTTTATCCGGTCTTGGGACTGGCTAGAAAACTAGCAAGCTGAAAATTTGGCGAGGTTAGGCGAATGATTAGGGTCATTTTATTACACTTCAAGAGGACCTCTTTCCTTTAGTAGTGAGTGAGTGTTGCAGTTGAAATTGTATATACTGCACTGAAAGTTTAACCAGTGAGCGAAAATATGAATTTTAGTATCTCCACTACCTACATCATTGCATTAATGACATTGAAATATGTTGGCATTGACAGCGAGATTTTCAACTATCAATCTGATATTCTGTTCACAAAATGTTCGAATATATGATATACATGTTTGCAGTTGAAGAAATCAGATGTGTATCGTATTCACTTCCTCATCATGCATTACCAAACATAGAAGGTTAGATATGATACTGAAACGTTTGCATGTTAGGCACTAGGATTCCTTTAATTCTGATTGATTCGATGAAACTCAAGTAATAATGATTATTATTGCTATTATTAAATTCATCTTTTGAGATGGCTTCAGAAACACATCTCCACTTCACTCTGTTGCACGAAGTCATTTTCAGGTTTATCCATAATTGCCAATAAGCTTTCATCTCCTCCTCAAACAATTTCATCCGTATCACGCTAAGATCCCTCGCCGACCTCGTCATTTCCCAAGTAGGCTATAGTGTTTGATATCATGCAATGATCTGCTTTGTGCATGCCGAGTACAAATGAATTTCCTTCCACTGGGCAATAGGTTTTTGGTCTATTCATTAACACTATTGCTTGCTGCTCATCGTTTCTAAAATATAGTGAACGTTTAATTCATAATGCCTAATATTCCGCTAAGTGTTTGTCTGTATTCCTTCGATGCTTCTTCTTGTGAATCCCCTGTTCACCAAACTTAGAGACTTCGTCAATGCTTTATTTATGAAAAAATACCTGGTGGAATTGTGAAGTTCGATTGTCGACGCCAGATCAATACATTCAAGTTTAGGAAATATTACCTATGAAGCTAAAACATTTCTAAGCTGTACAAAATCTTCTTTAACTGTTTCCTACTATGCATGATTTTAGTTGTATATTTTGTGCCAATAGTCCTGACATTAGACACTTAAGTATTAGCATCTAGCAACATTCTCAAATATAGGAACATGAGACTCCAGGAAGACTCTTTTATTGACTCATGAGCTCTAGAAATGACAGTTCTTGAGAATCACTATGCAATAATGTAGACAACACTCTGTATGTAATGGGAAGTCTTCTACTGTTTCCTTTTATTTAGCCGATGTTCCTCAAGGTGATGTTCTTTCTCCTTTTCCGTTTTCTTTTTTCTCATATGACTCACAGCATTCTGATGAAGCCAGTTTTGTTAAACATGCCAACAATCTGACTGTTTTCATATCAGTCAGTGCTCAATCAGACTGTTCCAAACTGAATAGCGTTCAATCAGAAATTAGTAAATGGTCCCTGTTAAATTATCTTAAGCTTAATCACTGCATATGTCAGATTATTAATTTCACTCTCAGATTTAAGAAACATTCACATGAACTGGCTGGCACTGAACTTGGAACTAAGTTGAATGTTCATCGCCTTGGATTATGTCCTTCCTCTGACTTTTCCTTCTCTTACCACATCGTGTTCAATTTTAGTCTAACATTCTATGTAAAGAAGTTAAGACAGTCTGGTATCATTCAGTTTCTAATTTTGCAGTCTGTTATTTCTTGTATTCTACCTGTTTTTCTTTATTGCTCACCCTTGGTCTTTGCTAGACTACTTAAGAAAAACTTCATGACACTGAGAATGGCACTGAAAACTCTCAGTAACTATCTAGTTAGTACTTTTGTAGATAGACACTTGAATTCATGAAAGAATGTAGCCATTACCGTCTTGTTGGACTCTGCGCGTACTGTTTATACACTACTATCCCATGGTATCTAATTGGGTGGGATTTTGAAAGTAATCATAGAAGGCTTTGCGTTGGGATTGTGAGTTGTTGGCACAATAGTAGAATACTCGCCAACCACATAGGTGGTTCAGGGTTCGACTCACTCCTTTACCTCGCCAAGCCGGTAACACGACTGATAAAGATGGAAGGTTGACACGTGGCTAGCAACCCCACGCCATCTTCTACCTTCGCTTAAATCCTCTAATGACCCCAAACAATTTGCCTATAGGCACGGTAGAAGCCCTTTAGATGCAGCTACCGTCTTATATCATAACATTGCTTCAGGGGGATAAATTTGTTCCTTAGGCCTTCCTAGACTATACATCTGCTTTTGACTCGGTCCCTGGGGACATCTTATTAAATAAACTTGCTGCAAGTCAAACAGAATGTCGGGCTGTTAACTGGTTACATTCCTATTTCTCAGAAGGAAAGCAGTACACCGTGTTAAAGGGAAGTCTTCCACTTCCTTGCCTACTGAAACTGGTGTCCTTCAAGGCGCTGTCCTTTCTCCTTTTCTTTTTTCTTCCTTCTTACATGACCTGCCTAACTCTGATGAAATAAACTTTGTGAAGTACGCTGATGATTTAACGGTTTCAATGGCTGTTAACTCCCAGCTAGATTGTACCAAAATAAATAGTTTTCAGTCCGGAGCCAGTAGATGGTCTGAGTCTAACGGTCTTAAACTGAATCCTTCTAAATGTCAAACTGTTGATTTCAGCTTAAGATGTCAAAGACAGTTAAAAGAAGTCGTCGATTCTCATGACAGTTGTAAGATTGACGACAACGATATAGGAATTAAATCAGAAACGAGGTATCTTGGATTTATTCTCTCTTCTGATCTCTCCCAAGATCTTCCATGTCTTAGCAATCTCCAGTAAAATATTCCACCTAACATTTTACGTGAAGAAGTTAAGGCACTCGGGTATAACTCCACCCCTCCTCTTACAGTTCATAAACTGTTGTATCCTACCTGTTCTAATTTATTGTTCACCCTTATTCTTTCCTGGTTTGCTTACAAAGGACTATGTCACAATTCGTAGAATGCTGAAGACTGCCAGTAGGGTGAGTGGTGTCTCAGTGGACCACATAGTTAGCGTCGTTGTCGATAAGCACTTGACTTCGTGCAATAAATTCGCTAGAAGGATTTTGTCTGACTTGGAGCATCCACCACAGCACCCTCAGCTTTCACCTTGTATCTCCTCAGGTAGAACAAGAAGTAACTTCAGAAAACTGTATGCTCGCACGTCCAAGTATAAAAATTCCACGATAACATACTTGGAAAGTATTTTACGTAATGGAAATAGTGTCAAGTAACAATTAACTAACCTTTCTTCATCTAGTAAATAAACAATTTCCTACATCTATCCATCCTTATATACCTTCAAGTTTTACTTTTATTATTTCTATTATATTTATGATCCTGTTGCTTCTTTGTTTTACTTTCATAATTGCAAACACAAACTTATCTCTATGACTGCTGAAATTTTGTTTTTCCCCTCGCCATATCATGTAAATTATTCAATATTTTTAAACAGGCTAGGATTTCTATAGCGCATCGACAATGCTGTGTGAAACAAGCCCACGGAAATTTCCCTCTTCGAATAAGAATCCAAGAACACAAATCACCTGTGAAAAGACATGATATAAATTCTTCAGTATCAATGCACACAGAAAATTATGGACATCAATTTGATGAGTGGCATAATGTCAAAATCTTAGACAGAGGAAACTCCAAAAGTGCAGTCAGGGAATTCCTAGAAGCCTGGTACTCAAACGAAAATGCAATTAACAAACACGTTAATATAGACGAAATATACCAACTAATAAAAAGTAAATCAGGTGATTAGAAAGTTTAAAATCCAATTCGATAGAAAACGGTCAATACAGATGTACAGGTGGTTACCGGGAAACGCAATTATATCACTCATAAGGAAATTCAAATCATTTCACTTTATCCTAAATACTGCGCTGAAGATGTCGTCCAGAAGGTGGACGACGAAAACTCCGCAACTAAACCAACCAGCTCAGAGAACACTAATGCTTGCAAATCATCCACATGAGTTACAAAGCTTCTCTATTATTTCAAAGAGTTGGCTGTATTAACAAAACGTTTAATTAGAGAATTGTTAACAAATCGCCTGTTCATAGGTCTTTAAATTAGCCGACATTATCTGCGTTGATCCAAATATAATCAATAGTCACATTATATAAATATCTCAAGAACTAGCAGATGGATGATGGGTGATTATACAAAACGATAGGTACAATTGAAAAAGTTTTAAAATCATATTAAAACTGAGAATATGAAACATTTATTAACCAGTTAGTTATATCAGGAGTAAAGGTCAGTTTTCATCGATTTGCTTGAAATATACTTGTTACTTCAGTAGTTTGAATGGCTCAAAAGCTCATTTTCAAGTGGTTCAACTCATCACTTAATACTCTGCCCGATATCAAATACGGCAATCCAATATTGATGTATATCAGCAGAAAGATAAGCGTTATATGCACAAAGAATGCAGCTGCACAGTAATTGTACGGAAATTGTCTGAACTGTGGTCTACCAAATGCTGATTGAGCACACATTAAACCAATCTAACAGATATTGAAGATGAAATGAAAGGCAGGAGTTGAGAAATTAATTGTAAGAAAATAATTTGTTATGAGATATTTCTCAAAAACGAATTCTGTAAAAAACCGCCTAAATAATAATAATATTTGCTTTATTCCAAAAACAGTACTAATGATACAGTAAGGAATTTTCAGCATTCAGTACAATACTGCATCTACGGAGAAAAGTATGACACCATATAATACAGAAAGATGAACAATAAAAGGGTCGGTTCACTTTGCTAATTACATAGTAACTTATGTGTTTCACGTCTAACAGAGTTTTCATCACATAAAGTACGGGCTAAATAGTGTATTGTAGAATTTCTGTACTTAGTGGTACGAGCATATAACTTTTTATATTGACTTCTCGTCCTACCTGATGAGATTCAAGGGGATGGTTGTGAATAAAGCGGGTGCAGAGGGTCTGACAGTACAGCCTTTGCCCATTTTGTACAGGAATTTATATGCCTCTTGACTATAGTATTGACGAGCTCATGCAGTGGCATACCACAAGCTCTACTCGCAGCATTTAATACTCTTCGTAATAAGATATAGACTTTTTTGAGAAGCCCACCTGTGCGCCGATGGCACAGTGGTTAGGACTCTCGCCGACCATGCACATGGTCCGAGGTTCGATCCCCTGCCGACGTACAACTGATATCTATGGTTGGCCTGCAAAATTTGGCTACCGATATCCATGCTGAAAATTCCATACTTGTGCCAAAAATACAGTGTGGAATCAAGCTGTAATCAAAAAAAAGATTAATGGAGAGCAATAGAGTACAATAGGTAAAATACAGGAGTTTAAAAGTTGCAAAACTAAAGGTTGGTTGATAACTGATTGTCTTAACTTTTTAATGTAGAAGGTAAGACCAAACATTTTCCTAGAGATAGAAAAAATGTTGGATGACCATGAAAGATCGGAGGAAAGAACTAATCCAAGGTATTTAACGCTTGACTTGGTTTCAATTTCGTTGCCATCTTTGCTACAGGCATCACGCGAACTTACTCGTTCATGTAAGTCACGTCGATGCTTGAAAGTAAAGTTAACTGCCTGACATTTTGAAGGATTTAACATAAGACTATTCGACTTAGACCACTTGCTGATGTCCAACAGAAAGCTATTAAGTTTGGAGCTGTCAGACTCGGAAGTGATAGGCAGTGATACAGTCAGATAATCTGCATATTTGACAAAGTTAGTTTCGTTTAAACGAGGCAGGTCGTGTAGGAAGAAAGAAAAAAGAAAAGGAGAGGGGACGGCATTGACTTTTGTAATCGAGGTAGAAGAAGATTTGTCATTATATAGAGTATACTGCATTCTATCAGAAAAATAGGAATGCAACCAACTCTTAGACCAGAATCCTGTTCGTGTCAACGAAAGCTCATTTAATAAAAAGCCCCTAGGTACAGAGTCAAAATCAGATGTGTAGTATAAGAAAGCACTACTAACATATTTGGCACCTTTGTCTGTCTAAACAAGAAGCAACATTGTGATATAAGACAACCGCAGCATCCAAGGTACTTCTACCATATTTGTATGCAAATTGTTTCGGATCATTAAAAGGTTTCAATGAAGGTTCAAGACAAAGTAAAAGTAGTTTTTCTATCAATTTTAAAAAAGGAGAAGTAAATGGAATAGGCCGAAATTTAATATCAGTACCAGAAGATGGTTTTGGTATGGGGATAATTTTAATGTTTTTCCATGCAAAAGGTAGAACGTTACCAGAAAAGGAAGCATTAAAAATGTTAGTAAAAGGGTAACACAAAATATCAGCACAATTCCTGAGGACAATGTCAGGTACACAATCAGGACCAAAGCTTTGGGAAGGCTTAATAGACCGGAGATATTTAAGTACATCAAGGGTATTAAAACCATAAAAACTACTGTCTATAGGATTTGTATCATTAAATCTGTTGTCAGATAAATACCTTGGTCCACATATCTCTGGTTTACAAATGCAATTAGTAGGCAAAGGTTAACCGATATCTAGAAAGTCGTGAACTGTTTGCATAAACATTTCTCGTTTCCATTTTCAAGTGTTGGTTTTCAAGTTTCATCATGATAGAATCACTGAAAATTGACTAGGAAATATTGTTAAATACACCGCTTCGTCCTTGTTTGGGACTCTTCAGCACTACGTACCCATGACTTCATCAGGGAGCAAATGAAAGAGCTTTAAGTTTTATGGCGATTTGTTGGTCGTTTAACTACTCGGCGATCGAATCTAATGGCCGGCCTATTAACTGATATTCAATTAGACGATGATTCTAGAGTCAGTTCGATTTCATTACAAGTCAATTTCATAAGTGACCCAGTTTATCTGTTGCAGTTTTAGCATATTGATTATCATTCACCAGTGAAGTCGCTTTATTATTTAGTGATATGAAATTCAAGAATCAATCATTTGAAACTGATACCTTCTCACTTCATTCACTCATAGATAATCACGCGCACTGAAAAGTTTATATAAGTATATGTATATATGTGCTTCAAGTAACATAGATAAATAACTAACATCCACTGTCATTAGAAAAGACGACTTACAGGGATTACTAATGCAGTCATTCCGATGCTGAGAATTTCCAGCGCCAATTTTTCCTAGAACAAGATTTGACAAGGTGTTAAGCGATTTCATGCAATAACAGCAAGTATTGAGCACAAAATATACACAAACACATAATGGAGAAAATTTTTGTAGTTCAGGTGGATGATTTTGATGTAATTGTGTTCTCTCAGATTGATAGATGGTTCGTGAAGCTTTCATTACCCTACTAGGGAACATCCTCACCTTAGCGTATACTTCAATTTGAAATGAGCTTTGAAATTTCTACATGAGTTTGTTAGTCACCCCTCCCTCTGGTAACCATGATCGCAAAATTGGTTGTTTTATTGTGTTTTCACACCCTCTAGGCTACTTGGCTTTAATCAAACGCCTTCAAATAGATGACGAATAAGTAGGGGTCTCCTTCAACGTCACATCATTACATACATCAGATGGACAGAAACTATCAGAGGAAACCATGCAGCAGTTACACAGCAACGACAAACACCTTCCACAACAATCGTACAGGCTACACACAAGCTGGATGAAATGCATAAACCTATGCCTAACAACATACTTCCTATTCAACGGACAAATATAAGTCAAAGGAACACCCAGAAATTCGCCCATATCAGGTTCGACAGCAGAAGCTGTGATGCAAAGACTAGAAAACATAATGCTACCAAAGATCAAACCCAAAATTTGGATACGTCGGGTAGGTAACACATTTGCCACAATCAGAAGAAACAACTTAATAAACCACATCGTGAACGACATCAAATTCACAGGAGAAGAGGCATCCGAGAACAAAATTCCGTCACATGAACAACCACAGAAACTGAAGCTTACAGGAAACCAACTCACGAAGGTCAAATACTCAATTACGACAGTAAGAACCCTGTAACACACAAAAAAAGGTGTATACAAACATTATTCAAGAGAGCCAGCCAGGAATCATTGCAGCACTCCTACCTCAAAGGGAAATCAAGAAAAAAATCTCACGGACATCTGAATGAACGCATATCCGTAGAATCTCACCATAACACAAATATCCTCAAGCCGCCAAACGACCAAATCAAAGGTTCGCAGTGAAAGCACAAAGAAAATCGCCCTACCATATATAAATAATAACTCAGAAATCAATGCAAGAAACACACATACATTTAAAAATTGATTTCTCTCACACACCAACAAAATCACTCAAATCAGCTGACTCTGTGTCAACCAAAAGACTCAACAACGAAGGGAGATGAAACTAACACCGATTGAAAAGACACTACATTGGCCAAAGTGAATGTCCCCTTCGTCTTAATATCCATGATCACAAACCGGAGGTCAAAATACATGATATCAACTCCCTCGCTCATATCGCTGCATACAGACTACCACGAACATCAATCCAACTGAAACAAGGTTCAAATATTAGACAGAGAATGCACCAAGAATGGCTGAGAATTTTTAGAAGCCTGCTTGGTATTCCATTGAATCATCAATCTATTGACACATTGGCATAGACAAGATTTCCCATTCCATGAAAGCGAAATCTCAGACACAAAGATACAAAGTTCAGGTCATGGAAGCAATGAATACCTATACACGTAAGCTAGAGGATGAGAAAACACACTGAAACGACCAAACACGACGTCCAACGTCACCAGGAGAGGTGTCTAATAAACTCGTGGAGAAATTTAAGAGCTCAATTCAAACTGAAACATTCGCTGAGGATTTCACGGGTTTCATAGGTCAATGCATTCCAGCTGAATCGACTGTATAGGCAACGAGCTTCATATTATAATCGTAAATTCCCCATTTCACTCCCTGCAAAGTCTTGGAAACACACCGCTGAAGAGTCCTAGACTAATACAGAATAGATGTCCAGTGTTTCCTGGTTTCCAATAGTCTCTAAATGATGTTGCTTCGTGACGAAATCTACATTAACAAATAAGCGAATATTCGGTTATGTGAAGACTCTGTATAAGGAGAAAACATCTTATACTCAAACAAGCTGGAAATTCTGGGAATTGTTCTAGTTTGGGAATCCTCGGTAGCACGCACCCACTGGGATTTGAACCTGGAACCTCCTATCCAGAATGCGGACTCCTGGACCTTTCAGCCATTGGGACTCAATCATCATGTCAACTAGTGACCAAACCTGTAGCCAATCAAATCCCTGCAAACCAACACTTAATATTTACATAAATTTGTCTCTGAAACTGGTTTGATATCCAAGTATTGATTTGTATAGATTTGATTGATTGGTTACAGGATTTCATCACGAGGACAAAACCTGGTTAGAGAAGTAGGATGAAACAGCTGTACAGTACTACCAGGTAGGCTTACCAATGGTTCTCTAACCGATGTCAGCTCATGATGAAATCCTGTAACCAATCTAGTTTCAGTTGTCACTTATTCAGGCATCTCTTTGGAACAATTAACCTAAATAAAATCTTTTGAGGAAATTTGAGATTATTCGGTTAATAATAATAATGATTTACTTTATTCCAAAAACAGTATTTGTGATACAGAATGGAATTGTCAGCATTAATCACAATATTACTGCATCTAATTTCCTCAAATTATAAATAAAATTAATCACACAGAAACTTTTTCACATTTACAATAGAGGTAGTGTCAAAAACATGCAGCATATAAAATGGAAATAACAATAATAATGATAACAGCTAGGGTAATAATAATAAGAATACAAGTGAAAATTGCCGTTGGCTTGTGCCACACAGTATTGTCAATGTGGTATGGAAATCCTAACATGTTTAAAAATATTGAATATAATGTTCTCTTTACATGATGGTGATGGTGAGGGGAAAAACAAAGATTACAGCAGTCATAGAAATAAGTTGGTGTTTGCAATTATGCGAGAGAGTAAAACAAAGAAGCAACAGGACCATAAATATAATAGAAGTAATAAAAGTAAAACTTGAAGGTATGTAAGGATGGATGGAGGAAATTGTTTATTTACTAGATGAAAGAAGGTTAGTTAATTCTTTCCTGACACTAATTTCATCACATAAGATACGTGACAAGTATAATGTCATAGAATTCTTATACTTAGACGTGCGAGTATACAGTTTTCTGAAGTTACTTCTTGTTCTACTTGAGGAGATGCAAGGTGAAAGCTGAGGGTGCTGTGGTGGATGCTCCAAGTCAGACAAAATCCCTTTAGCAAATTTATTGCACGAAGTCAAGTGCTTATCGACAACGACGTTAACTGTGTGGTCCACTGGGACACCACTCACCCTACTGACAGTCTTCAGCATTCTACGAATTGTGACATAGTCTTTTTTAAGCAAACCAGGTTTCTTCAGTTAAATTCAGGAGTTATGAGGTAAATTTTGGCTATTAAAGGGGTTTGAGGAATTATCTTGATTCCATGAACGTTTTATACTATGTTGCCTTAAAACTACCCGAATCTTCTCAAAATGTTTTACGTGAGCAACTAGCTAAATCCATCTTGGTAAATATTAAATTATGAGCTGAACCACTGAAAAACCAGAGAGTACTGGATAGATGTTTCGTCCTAGTTCGGGACACTTGACGGTTCGCATCCACCAGGGTTCTAACTCAGGACCTACTGATTACTAACGGAAAAAGTGTAATTATTTCATTTTATCTAAAATTTATCACAAATATAAAATATTTTACATTTTCATTGAACACTTACATCTCCTGTCCCAAAAGACACACTAATTGTAACAGCTAAAGTTACAACTGAGACAGTAATACCGTATGTGAGAACCGCAATGTAATGACGATTTAGATCAATTGGCAGTGCTGCACCTATTAAGATTAGTAAGATGTACAATACGACAGCTGATCCCATCACTATAAGTACCCATTTAGAGTCTTTGCCAATGAACGGTATTCCTGTGAGTACAGATGCTAATATCGACTGTAAAATAGAAAATCATAATGTTTGAGTATACTGCAAAATTCTTTTGATAAAAAGATATATACTGTCTGTCGCCTTATGATTTATTACCATTCTTGAAGTTCCTCAGGGGTACATCTGGCGTTTTAGACGTGTCAGTAGACATACCGCTGTTTTAATGGGGTAAGATTTTTTGATATGGTTGTATTCTCTGAGCTGGATAGTTAATTTGTGATGTTTTTATTGCCCCTTACTAGGCGGCGTCTTCAGTGAATACTTCAATTTGAAGTGAGCTTTTAGAGTTCTCCACAAGTTTATTGATCATCCTACCTGGTGACCTGACCTAGGATGTGATTGGTTGTTTTTGTGTGTTTTCACATCCTCTAGACTACTTGTATTGGAACTGACTATTTCTTTGACTTGAACTCTGATAATTTGTGTGTGGGATTTCCATCTCGATGAGTCTGTTGATTGATTATTCACTGGTATACCAGACAGGCTTCTAAAAATTCTCTGAAATTCTTGATATTTCTGCTGTCTAATATTTTAACGTTCTCTAAGTTGAATTGATGTTTTTGGTTGTTGGTATGTAGTGGTATGAACCAGGGAGTGGATGTTATGCCATGGCATTTAATAACCGATAAGAAGAAAACGTCACACACACACAAATGGTCAAAGTCCAAGTCATAGAAGCAATCAGTTCCAATACAAGTAGCCTAGAGGGTGTAAAAGCACACAGAAACAACCAATCACTTTCAAGATCAGGTCACCAGTAGAGGTGACTTTTAAGCTCGTGGAGAAACCTAAAAGCTCACTTCAAATTGAAGTATGAGTTGAGGTGAGGATGTTGCCTAGTAGGGGGCAATGAATGTTTCGCAAATAATCTATTCATCTCAGAGAACACAACCACATCAAAATCATCAAATCATCTCCATCATATCTATAGGGTAAGTTTGCTAGACTCACTCCCAGCTTTCCCTCTTTCCTGGAGTTACTATCTTCTGGTGAGCTAAGTGATACTTCACAAGTGCACCAAACAGGAATCAAATCCGAGTCTTCCGTGTGACTGCGGATCATTTCATCACCGAACCATTGACACAATCTCCATATCATGGTGTGATATCTTGAATGAATTGTTGATCGGGAGCGATTCCATGCAAGTACTTATGACTCATAACCTGCATTCATCATGATTGTTGTCCCAATAAGGTGTAATATTCTGTTTTAGTCATTAATGCCTCAAATGTCATCCAGAATTGTTAGTCAAAATAAAACGGTATGTATGTCTCAAAATCAGCTGGTATCTCAAAAACAATTTCATGTAAATGTGCTGCCAGTTTCGATGGTATGATTGTCAGTTATACACTCAAACTGTGGAGATTTGACTTTAAAAGTGACTGCGAATTAGAATAACCAATCCTTTACAATCTAGAATTCGATTGTTGTAAATTTCTAACACCAACTAATTGACGAATTATCAATACCTTATTGATTTACTCTCCCGCTAACAGATAGAGAGAGATGTCATCTCTTTGTGCACAGGAACTTTGATGATACGTGAGAGCCAAATTCAAGAAATTTAGTGGATAGTGACTGGTGATGGAATCCAGGAGTCGTATCTCGTTCAATTCGGGACTCGTCAGTTAGACGCATCTGTATTCCACAGTGATTGATGTTGTCCCCACTGGGGTTCGAACCCAGTAATCGTAGTTTCAAACGCCAGAGCGTTGACAGTTGGACCACATGGGCCATGAGAGCTATCTTATGTGCAATATGTATCAGTGATTGTTGAATTTGATTTGAGAACACCACCACTTTCTGAGGAATGCAGATACACGCAGATGACGAGTCCAAAATAAAATGAAACGCTCATCCTGGATTCCGCTACTAGTCACAATGAATGAATTACTTTTCACTGCTTCATCTACTTTAATGCAAACAATCTAAATATTATATTTCCGACAGTTTTCTTGAATTAGTATTATTATGACTAACCAAATATTTGGAGATATTAAGTGCTTCGGATATTACTAATTTGATAGGAGTAATATATATACATAAATGTTTACAAGAATAATAAATTTATATTTTCATACATGTAACAGCATAATGAATATATTTATTGGAAATTTTGTTCTTATTGTATCTAATGTGAAGAAGAGAATCAACAATATCGCCTCAACAGGTCCACTGAAATGAAGAGAAGAAATCAAGGCATGTCTATATGTCGTATATATGATTGATAAAAATGAAAATGAAATTAGGATTAAGCATTTATGAATTAAATAATTTTGTATGAATAATGTTGGTGGGGGGGGGATCCTGTTAATTTATTATCAGAGTTGGCTTGGATTCCACCGTGTTATGTATGATCTATGTCCCCAGTTGGAATGAACTTGTCACCAATTGATATGACAGGGTCGACACCTGATTTGACCAAGTGGACTTATGCGTGTGGGTATTATAATACCAATGCAATGAACAACTTAGCTGATCTGATAGGTAAATACATTCACCCGTGGTACCTTGCACTTCATTGAGTCAAGTAAATATGAAAAGACAAAGACTGACCTGTGTGACTGTTGCGATACAGTTTTACAAGGGAAGCGTCTGTCATATTTATATATATTTTATAAAAACGTAAAAATCTACGTAGGGCAGTAGAAATGGATTGTTCTGAATGTTAGGCGATTCAGCTAACGTAGGCGAGAAATTAATATTCTGATTGACTGTTGATTTGACCGAGACTAAGGTGAGAAAGGGTTGATGACATTCAACAGCCATCCACGATCACAGGTTGAATCAAATGACGATTCCTATTTTAAGGCGATTCCTATAACCCTGTCTGATGTTATACATCCTTCGATTCGCTAATTATTTCACAGAAGGAAACCTCATACAATCGTTTAGATTCCAACAGATAGTGTAGACGTCCACAGTTGTGCTGTGGGCTATCAGCTAATGAACTGCTTGACTTTGGCGCCTGCTTCCATAACCCACTTTTGAGAAGTTTTTAATGAATCGCCTAACTTGCACATATAATTATTATTCTCTAATTCGTGAAGAAAAAACCGCGAATCTATGCGCCTCAGTGTTTTTTAATATTTCACATAATTTTTCACGATTAATATATGAGAATGCGTTGTATTTTATGGCGATTGAGACTGCAAAATACATCATCGTTAGTTTGTAAAGCATACGACTTTCATTTCATTCCATGAGTTCATTGGAGACATCTGAAGAACTTTCACCAACTCATGCGTTTCCCTCTCTTCTGATTGGAGATTTAATACTTTGAATATTTATCAGGTAGTTACGAGTGTCATGAGTCTTGTACGTCTTTTGATACAAACGGAATTCTATCAGATAAGTTTGTAATGTGGTCACCAGGGTAGGTGACTCACCATTGTGATTCACTCTGAATTGATATTGGATAGTTGGAAACAGCCGATAGGTAGCCATGGACCTTGGTTACGTGTTTGTTAGAACTCATCAGAAGGGCGTTATCGAAAACTTAGATTAGCTCTTATTCTCTCTAAGATTCGAACCCGTGTCACTGAGTGCTTTAGTCGGAGACGTTACAATCGATCCCTAATGATGAGTGCAAACAAGTGCGGAATCTAGATCCAGTGTTTCCTGTCGATTTCCACCAGCCAACAAACATTTATTATTTTTATTTATTACATTTTATTTAGATTTTACAGTCCTGTTTAGTTGAAAGCTAGACAGGTGGATAACTTGGACGAAAAATTCAAGTAGATTTACGATCGGATAGAAGCATAAAAATCACTCTAAAAATAAAACTTTTAGAAAAGAAACATTCTGATATAGTAAACGCATTCGATGGGATATTCTCAGTACACAGTGATGAGTAGTAGGAAAAGCGGCCATGAAGTTGACTTCTCTTTGGGTCTGAAAAATAAGCAATTAATTATTCTGGTCGACCTACATTAGTGACATAGCAGGCAGTATGATTGTTGTGATGATGGACATCAAAATAACGAGTAATAATACCTGTAATCAGCGGGCAACTTCATCAGGGGGTAACGTCGACTTACTCTTTTCGTGTACTTATCCATAATTTTGTGAATTGTAACGTATTTATTCACTTGAATTTAATGATCTTCTGATATTTCTTATCTCCACTGACGATTCTATTAAAATTAGGAATTATTAATAAATTGAGATTTGTTTTTGGAATGAAAGTGTATACTACTGGATACAATTGGTGGATGGTGACTAGCAGTGGAATCCAGGATAACGCGCATTTTGTCCTATTTGGGACTCGTCATCTGGATGCACCTGCATTTCTCAGTGAGTGATGATGTTCCCACCGAGGCTCGAACCCAGTACCCATAGTTTCGAACGCCAAAGCGTTATCCACTAGACCACTTGGGCCACGAGAGCCACCTCTTGTGCAATGGGTCATATTAATTATTGAATTGGAGTTTTTGATTTTCCCGTCGACTGATTGGACCGAAGTGCTCGGTCTCAGGTTGACATGTCAGCTTCTTGTGCAGATGCTTCGACGATGTCTGGGCATTTAGTTAGGATACAATTGGTGGATGGTGACTAGCAGTGGAATCCAGGATGCGCATTTCGTTCTAATTGGGACTTCGTCAATAATTAATATGACCCGTTGCACAAGAGGTGGCTCTCGTGGCCCAAGTGGTCTAGTGGATAACGCTTTGGAGTTCGAAACTATGGGTACTGGGTTCGAGCCTCAGTGGGAACATCATCACTCACTGAGAAATGCAGGTACATCCAGCTGACGAGTCCCAAATAGGACGAAATGCGCATCCTGGATTCCACTGCTAGTCACCATCCACCAATTGTATCCTAACTAAATGCCCAGACATCGTCGAAGCATCTGCACAAGAAGCTGACATGTCAACCTGAGACCGAGCACTTCGGTCCAATCAATCGACGGGAGAATCAAAAACTCCAATTGAATAGTGTATACTACTGACTGATTGAAATGAGTAGTTACATAACACTCATATCAACTAGTGGTGCTTGCTAGCTAAATCGAGGTGATCAACCACCGAAATGCCGTTTTCCTCATTTGGGGCTATACTCATCAGCGGTGTATTCAGTTTAACTCATCTCACACAGCCGAAACAATTCAAACCACTGGATCTCTGAATAGCTACTTAGGTGAACTGGTGTTTATCACAAGTCAAATTCACACTTTGGTATGACCAGTTCGCTGAAGTAGCTAGTCGGAAATCCGTTGGTTTGAAATGACTTGGCTGTATGAAATGAGTAATACCGGGTAGAACTCTGATGCTTTCAGCCCCAAAATGAGCGATACATGTGTTCTGTATTTTGGGATCACTTCGAAGAGATCAATGAGTAGTATTTAGTTTTGTGCAGATCTGCTTGTAATCCTGATTATCATTTATGGAGTTAAATAGATCACATATTGTGGTGATCTGAATAACTTGATTTTCAAAGGAAACTACAATGCAATTTAACCTCTTGAACTGCGTAGATCGTAAACTCCTGACGATTTTGACAATTATGAATTTGATTTGCAATCAGAATAGATATAAGGCTCAATAGAAGAGCTCATAATCATAAGAAACAATATATTCTTCAGAATTGTAGAAAAAATGTTTGCATTCTTCAATATGCTCATAGAATAAACTGGATAATTTCACAGAAGAATTTGAGCATCTTGGTGGAATATAATTCGTCATGAGATAAGTGCATCTGATACAACCACAAAGTGATACCATAATATTACCTATATGATAGATTAACTCTGCTTAAATCTCAACACATCTCTAAGTTCTTTAAGCACATAAACTCAGTTGTGGATGGAACCCAGCTCACTTAAGACTTAGACAATGAATAGAGTGAGTTGTCTAGCCGAAAGTGTAAAATAAAACGAAGTTAGGATGGCTGGTTAGATACCACCATCTATAAGAAACTGTCATCTCATAGATGCGTGGACTTTGAATCAGGGCAGCCAAAATCGATAAAGGCAGGTTTATTTAAATTTTTATGCAATCATACCAGAAGCCGAGACAGAAAATCAGGGAATTTAAATGAATAAGTAACTCTGCACTAAAATTAACACAAAAGAAAAATAAAAATTAGAAATTCAAGTAGTCAAAAAAATGCGTTTTATTCTTTTATGTTCCCAGTGGAACATAGAGCTTCAAGCTACAGGCTTGAAGTTTCTGTAGCAGTGGTGGTTATTTTTACAGGATGGGGTTTCTAGCCTCATGCCCAACCTTCCCTCTCCGGTAGTCTTTTTACTGGCTTAATGAGGTAAAGGAGTTCCTCGGTCGAGGATCGAACCGTTGACCACCTCTGAGGTCGGCGAGCATTCTATCTCCGTGCCACCGAGGCACACATCTGCCATAAAAAGAAGGAATATCAGATAGTTAGCAAAGGGACAATGTAAGACAATTGGTTACCAGCTAAATTCTCGAGCATTTGGTGAACTCAGGCCACGTAGCCCCACCGAAGTCATCTTTCAAGATCATCTACAAAGTGAAGCCAAATGGTACAAAGGGCGCCAGGTTTCGGCTTTTGTGTATGGCCGAGGCGCTGGCGATTCATCAATACGACCCTGAACTCTGTATACAGGAAAAGTTTATCCAATCTCTTATTCTACTTTGGTCTTAACCTCTTCACTAATCGTTCCCTGTAAAACATTTTGATTTTTCTTTTCTTTATTAATTTTTAATTTTAATTTTAGTCTGCTTTTACTTTGATAATTAATTCACTATTATCACTCTCATATGCTCCTTTTGTAAATTTTCACACCCTCTTCACACTTGTTAAATTCACACTCAAATACCTTTATTCTCACTCAAGAGCAATTTTAACCTTATCAAATTTCTATCTTTGTGCCGTTGAATACCACGTAATTTACAACTTTTAGTTTTCGCTTCTAGAGCCACTTCTGAATAATTATATCAATTATGTAACCCCCTACTACTCAATAATATTATTATATCCTTTAATTCCTAGAGGAACATAGGGCTTCAGCTGCGCGTCTCCATTGCCTTCGGTTTTCCGCCAAGTCTCCAAGTCTCCCCACACGCTTTCATCTCCTCTTCACATGACCTCCTCCAAGTCACCCTGCCCTCACACTGACAGCCAACTCGCCGCTTCCAGTTCGGGCTCCACTCGAGTAATGGCTTGTCTAGTGATGTCACTTGATGGTTTCCTCAGCGTATGGCTAGCCAATCCATCTCCATTTCTTCCTGCCTATTTATTGCACAATCGGTTCCTGCTGAGTTGGTTCGCTCATTGCCAGAGATCCCTGTTGCTGATCTTTTCTGGTCGGCCATCTGATCTTGAGTATTGAGCGAAGACAACTGTTGATGAAGGTCTGAAGTTTGTTTGAGATGCTCTTTATGACGCACTGGCCAAGTCTCTGATCCATCCGTATAGTAGCAGTGACTTCACATTGGAGTTGAAAATCTGGATCTTATTTTTGATGCTGAGTGCTGTTGACCTCCACACAGACTTGAGAGTAATGAAAGCCTGTCTTGCTTTTCCGATTCTGGCTTTGATATCCTCATCAGTTCCATTCGCCTGTAGTTGAAACGATGCTTCCCAAGTAGGCAAAGGAGGATGTTTCGAGCACAAACTATTGCTCATAATCATATCAAGTTACTCACACAACTTTGTTCTTTCTGTGATGAAAGAACAAAGTTGTGTGAGTAAATTGATATGATTATAAGCAATAGTTTGTGCTCGAAACGTCATCAGTTCATATAATTGTACAACACTGTGTGATTTATCAAAATAAAATCTTATCTATAATGGAGTTATACTCTACCACAGTGCCCAAGTTTTATACTTATAGGTAAAGGAGGATGTTTCTTCCAGGTTCCTTCCATTTATGCTGGCTGACTGTTGTCTGTTGATGTAGCTGTTGGTGTTGGGCAGGAATCTTCATCACCTCTGTTTTTCTATGTTCACCTAAAAGAAGTCCTATCTTTGATGCTTCTTCTGCCAGCTTGTTGCTTTCAACTTGCATATCTTCCAGTCAATAATAGACCACTATATATTTTTTACTAAGTATAAATACGACCGTACAGCCTTTGAAGATGATTTCGTTGATAAAGAAACTTTTCTTCGCTGAATCTCTCTTTTATTTTCCTCATGAATATCAGATACTCTGTGTAAAATTCCTTACAAAACTGGAGTTGATGTGGCATTTAAATCAACGAGCCCAGTCAGAGACAAATTTAATCAGCCTAACGGCTCTTAAGATTAAGTTAGGCATAAAAATATAATTTACTAAACTAGTGTCAGTCGAATTACTCGAACACAGGAGATTTCAAGTGTTAGTTTGGTCTTAATACATACTGTATGACTGTCAACATCCTCTCTATTCACAACCCTTCCTGACTTGCGTCTCATCAGACAGGACTAAAAGTCATCATAAAAAAGATTACATGCTCGTGCAGAAACTCAACGACACCATGCTTAGCATGAGTCCTATGAAACGGAGATAGCGCTGCGCGCGAAACCTACGACTTACTATGTTATTAGCAAAATAGTTGGCTCTTTTATCCTCTCGTATTTGTATTCGTTGGTGAGACTGTTTCAATTACCTTTTTTTGTAGCTGTTAGTCATTACTAATATCATTATTTCACGTCTTTTGTACGAATACATCACACCATATTTTTGAGATAATCTCCATCTTCTATTAAAACTATCCAAACTTAGTAAAAGGGATTTACTATCATTATTTATTTCGACACGTTCGCTTTCCAAAGGGGAACATCAGGCTTCAGGCTTTGAATCCTTAGTAGCAATGGTAGGTGGAATTCCTAGGCATGCTCCCAACAATCTGTCTTTACCGGACTTATCACCGGTTAAGCAAGTCTGAGAAGCACATTGACCGGGAATCGAACCCAGGACCACTAGCATGGTTGGTGAATATTCCCTCACTGAACCCCTGACGCACAAAACGAACTAGTTGTTTTGAATTTGACACATTAAACGAAGCAATAAGAAGGTTAACGGTGGAGGAATAAAAATATACTGTGGATAAAACGTAAAAAAACCATGAAGTGTAGGGAGAATTGAGTATATTTATAAGTATATGAGGCGAATGCTTCGAGCAATAATTATACAAAGATACGCTTACCTGATTTAATTTTTATGGTAGAATCAAAATAATATTGATTCCAGTGTATTTATAGCTTAATGTGATCTGTGCTGTGCTGCATATTGATTTTAGTGAAGTACTCATTTCACGAAGTTGTTCTGATATACGGAGAAGGAAACTCGTGTGATGAATAGACTTTAGTCACTGTCTATGAAAATTTACTTGTCGACGTTATGAATGCGAAGGAATAAAATAAAAGACCTTTAGACTGTTATTTTTCTCAGCCTGTCTCCAGTTATTAAATATCATAAGATATATTATTGATTCCTTGAGATCAAAGTGGAACACTGGTCTTCAAGAGCACATTACGATTGCGTTCATGATCTAGTTCAAGTCACTCTTGGATGTCCAATTGTGTCGCTTCCCATTTGACTTCCATTAAACGGATTTTTATTTTGGTGTTAGTCCAATCTCACTACCTGTCCTCCAGTGGTTCAGAGATAGAATTATTACCAAACATTAATATGGTTAAACCTCCAGCCGAAGCACTTTTAAGCCAATCTTAACCCTGCAGTAGGCGTAGTATAGAGGAAAGTATGGGCTTGAGGCAAGCAGCCACAACCCATGCTATGTATGGCTTTTATATCCTTTTCCACAGGAAATTACAATTAATTTATCAACTCTGAGGTGTTCAGAATATGTGGCTGGTCCCTGACGTATGATTTATCAAAGTGTTTTCTGCAGATTGTAATCCTCACAGTAGCAGAGTAAAATGTATTCTTCAGGCACTTGGAACGATGATTTTAGAGGATTTCAGCCTAGGCATCATCTCTGAAATCTAGGTTCATGAACAAAGATTTCCTAGGAACAGTTGGGCCCAGTAGCAACGACGATTTCCCCACCCCCATGTTCGAGTTAATAAATCTAAGCGGATATGCATTTTGTAATAAAATGACAAGAAGAGGTTCCGGCACAGTCTTTACTGTATGTTTCCACCAGACCATTCAAATCCTCAGGCTCAGAGAACATACTGAGTCTTATTTTGTGACTGGTGGGATGTAGATATACTGTAACGACAGTAGACAAGGGCCATGCAGCAGTTCATTTATTGAGAAAATCAACAGATATATAAAGATTTTTATGTAAACTATTGTCAGTGGAGAAGCAACGCCTTCTGATTGGTTGCTTTCTTGCCGAAGATTATTCTCTTATCTCTTTGTGGCTGTTACTCAGAAGATCAAGCCATATATCTGTGAATCATATTTCCACACTTTAACTCCACTGTGGTTGGTTGGTGATTTTCTCAAGGTGGGGGTTTGTTATTGATTTCCCACGACTCAGTATTATTTTTATGGATGACGAGGTTTTGAACAAAATTTATTGATCATAATCTTATCATCAATTATAATCACACGACTTCGAAACTCAAGTTTTATAGTTTTCTTTATCATCTCCTATTTGTCATCGTATGGGTAGTAGGATTTTCCAGATGTCCGGGTGGAGAGGTGTTAAATCACTTCTATTACACGTGTTGGCAGTTGATTCGATAAATAAAGCTTCTGTTACCAATCTCTCCCTTCACCCTGCTACTGCATTAGATTTTAAAACTGTCATCTTATCCAATCCATCCTATTGTATGGTTGAGTGTAACTGCATATAGTGCTATAGCTGAACTATTCTCTAGATTTCTTATCTTATTTGGGTCAACCGATCTAGATTTTGCTAGGCTTTTATGTTCGGCTAGCCTGACTGCCCCTGTTCTACTAGTTTGACTTGTGTATTTGACCTGACAATCAATGCAGGCAGGCTATTAGATAAATTAAATTTGATATTTGATATAAATACACGAATGTACAGCCAAAATGATGACTTCGTCGAAAAGAAAATTTTCTTCGCTGCAATTGTCTTCTTAATAACTTCTATGACCCAGTGTGTATAAATTAAATTGTTTTGTTTTAAAGGCTCCAAGGTATTGATCCTTTAAACGACAAAGCTTGTTTCTAATTGAGCTTGTGGTTGATTTGAATGCCAGCCATTTTTATTTATGCCTTGTTAAGAATTCTGCGTAAGCTCTCCGAGGTTCCTTCCTTGTATGGAATTCCTACTGATGATTAAGCTTCCTTATTGTTGGTGTTGTCTTGCTCATGTTTGACATGCATGTCGTCATTAATACTATTATTATCACTATCACAACTATTATTATTTTATTTTTATTTTCACATTTCCCTACATGCTTTCTGACTAATTAATCAGGGTAATTATTAAGGCTTCTCTAATATGCCTCACTTCCTTTCTTAGTTTTTCCTTTATACTACTTAGCTTTTGTGCTCTGTCACTTAAACATTTCACCGATCCTATTTTCATTGAAATAGAATGGGATGATCGGAAGTCCAAATATCTGTTTGAATGTGTGGGTTTCCTGTAAACACTAGTGTGCTTAACTTCTCATCTTTTCTTTTTACGCTGCATTCTAACATTGAGTGTTCTCCTTCCTGACTTTCCAGTTCACAAGTGAACTGAAAAGCCTCCACCTTTGAGCTAATGAGTTCGAAAAATCCATCTATATCCTGTGTTATAAGTACAGTGAATGTGTCATCTACATACCTCCACCATACTTTTGGGGTGGGGTTGAACGTTTCACTCGCTATGTTTTCACACTCATATATATATATTGTTTGTGTGGCACAGTGGTTAGGACTCTCGCTAACCATGCACATGGTCCGGGGTTCGAGCCCACGCCGACGCACACCTGATATCTATGGTCGGCCTGCGAAATTTGGGCTACCGATATCCATGCTGAAAATTCCATACTTGTACCAAAAATACAGTGTGGAATCAAGCTGTAATCAAAAATAAAATAATAAATATAGTAATTCTCACCCAGTTATAAAACTGTACTCTCTGTGTGTATATATACCCTTTCTACTGCATTTCGTCTTGAAATGTGTTTACTCTGAACCATTCCACCTTGCCCGGAATAGTCTCACTTTGTTTACTTTGACCATGATTCAGCACTAATTTTCACCTTCTTGAAAGTGCTTTGTCTGAATGAATGATCCGATATCAATTTACGAGTCGCTTTATTTATCAGATTCGGGCAGGTAAGTCCACTTGGAAATTGTCGAACTTTATTCTTTGTTGACAATTACTTGTGTGAATAGTTAGCCGCTACAGCTGATTGACAAATAACGTAGCTTGTCAGCAGCTAGTGTCGTAATAAACTGACAGTCAAGTACCATAGGAAATGATCGAAGGATTATTGATCTCATTTGGGGTTAGAAATATGAACTGTGTATGCCAAGTGAAAGTATTTTACCGTTTTATTTGGGCACATCTAACTCTCAAATTTAATCTGTATCTGACAATCTTGTTTGTGAACGCCACTATCACCATCTTAAAAATTTTGTATTATGCATGATTCCTCACACTACCACAACAAACACTGCATTAGTGCTGACAATAAAAAAAACACAACCTGAAATGTTTATTTTATGATTGTTCAGTGTTGTTCAATCAAATTAACTAATCGTCTTGGCTATAAACATTCTTAAGAACATCTCAATAATTTCTTGTATGATTATAGCTGTCACTGTTCACCACGCATAAACATATCATACCTTCCACTACCCAGTACTGAAATATTTTTTCATCATTTGTGTTTATCTTCCTTTCTACTTGGTATTTTTATTTGCATTTTTTCTTTCGTTTTTTTGTTATTTCTGTGTTTCTTTTTTGGTTTTTAACTGTGTTTTTTTATATTTATTTATTTTTTTTGTAATACTCCTTTTAAATGTACGATGAAATTAGATGCAATATTGTAGATATGTGCTGAAAATTCCACACTGTACCACAAGTACCGTTTCTGGAATAAAGCGAAATTGTTATGTTATGTTCTACCTTATTATTCACCAATAAACACATTTTAATTACTTCAATAATTTTGAACTTTTTTCCATCCAACCATGTCTAGAATATTAACTGGTCCTTAGGTCGGGACATAAGAAAAGTTGGGTTGGGTGCATAGCGACTGAGAATTCAATGCACAGAAGAAATAATTTAATTCTTCACTGAAATTAGGGAGACTTCTCAGTTCCAAAGTGGATATGGTAAAACGGTGTAAGCCTTCAGAAGAAGATGCCAAGTATTCTTTCCTCATTATTACCCTGTAACGATCAGATACGTCATGATTGTGCTGCCCAAAGATTTACTTTCTCTTAATTGCAAACTCTTCTATATGTGTTCAGAAATATCTAAGATAGGGCCTTCCCTCTGTTCTTCCAATATATCTACTTCGACAGATGCACGTGAACTGAGAACAATAAACATGAGACATCTGACTGACACAAGATATCAAGCAGATATCACGAAGTGCTCGTTATCCTTAGATCGTTTTCTTGATCCAAAATTACAAACAATAATCTTTAAACCAATGGCTCAATAAATGTGTCCTCCCAAGAAATTCTCTGTGTCTGGAATTGCCTGAAATGCTAGGCGTGTCGCTGAAAGACTGAAGAGGTGATATATCATTATGTGCAATAAACCACACAATATGAGGAGGCTTCATGTGGTATTCTGCCCTGGATTCGATGTGATGGTAAAATAAACAGGAAGGCACAAGAAACTCACCAGGCTCATTTTTATCGAGTTGTATAAGCAATAGCACAGCACAGTGAAAAACAACTCTTGCATCCTACCTATTCTTCTTTATTGTTCACCCTTATTCTTGCCTGTTTTGCTTAGAAAGGATTATGTCACAATTCGTAGAATGCTGAAGACTGCCAGTAGGATGAGTGGTGTCCCAATGGACCACAAAAATAACGTCGTTGTCGATAGGCACTTGACTTCGTGCAATAAATTCACTAGAGGGATTTTGTCTGACTTGGAGCAACCACTTTACGCTCAGCTTTCACCTTGCATCTCCTCAGGTAGAACAAGAAGTAACTTCAGAAAACTGTATGCTCGTACGTCCAAGTATAAAAATTCTATCATATCATACTTGGCTCGTATTTTATGTGATGAAAATAGTGTCAGGCAACAATTAACTAACCTTTTTCATCTAGTAAATAAACAATTTCCTCCATCCATCCTTATATACTTTCAAGTTTTACTTTTGTTATTTCTATTATATTTATGGTCCTGTAGCCTCTTTGTTTGTTTTACTCTCATAATTACAATCTCTATCACTGCTGTAGGCTTTGTTTTTCCTC